GCTCCTAGTAGCGATGCCCTTGTTACTAGTAGCTTCTTGCTCCTAGTGTGTCCACCATGTGTTTTCACAAAGAACATTTGAAGCGGCCTCAAGAAATAACTCTCCTGAGGCTAGCTACACCCTCGTCCTCGAGTTGAAGTTCTTCTTCAAAGTCTTTCCTCTTTTGCATGTCTTCGTCCTGAACGCTGTTTGCCGATATTTTGGAGGTAAATGGTAGCCACATTCTCTTCGCGGCCATTCTGGTCGCCACAAGTGCAGCCACACCCACCGAGGTGTCCAAAGTCCGTGAAAGCCAATGAAATATTTGTCGATCGCTAAGTTCGGACAAAAAGTGTGAGCTGAGCAGCGGTTTTCTTGCTACACGTCAGCCAACGCAATGTTGAATGTTTAGTCATAGACAATATGGGCAAGCCAAAGTCCTTTTGGCCTTCTCCTCTGCTTTCAGCACTACTTTTCTGGCCAATCGCCTTTGGCGATTGGGCACCTGTTTTTGTACATGGAGTTTTGCTTTTCACGGTTGGCCAGTGTCAAAGAGCGCTGCGCTATGCTGCGCTATAATGGGAACCATCCCAGTCATTCCAGCCAGATTCCAAGTGCCGCCTTCACTGAAAGAAGATACAAAGCCCCTCGATCAAATCCTGACCCGGATACCAGGTCAGCTTGTATGGCCCTGCGGGAGCTCGTTGCAATTGGTCCTTGATGATCAGCTCACAAATCCTCGCAAAACATGTTGCTTGTGAATTCTTTCGTTGACATAATTACCTTGCACAAGCTTTTACAAACACGCAACTCTTCCGTTTCTCATGTAAAATGCTCACTGGGAATTGGGAGTGTAGAAACCCCGGCCACACTTTGCAAAGAAACCAAAACTATTGGCTTTGCTTCGGAGTCAAGAAGGGAGGTACGAGTAGCTCCGAAATGCAAATTAAGCCAAGATACATCGAGTTGATCTCATCTGAATAGTTTCGGATTTCCATGCGGATGGCTTCACCATCTTCAGGACGGCTACATGTTGCCTTTCAGCTGTCAAAGGATTCCGAAAAGAAATCTGGTGGCTTGACGGAGGAGACATGCGAGGGACAATGCAGGCGCATCCTGTGGTGAAGCCTCAACCTTTAAGATATAAAAGAGTTTATGATTTATGATGCTCCACACCTTCCGCACATCAAGGGCACGCTTCATGCGCTCAGTGGCCCGTGCAGTGCTTCGTTCTGCCCGCTTCCCCCAGCGCTCGAAACGTCGCAGGTACATCCCTGCAGCCATGATGTCCATATCCTGGGTGGGGAAGTTGGCCGAACGAATAGAGAAAGTGCCCCTGAACTTGCAGGTTTTCAGTTAAGACCTTCGGATGAGCCTGTTCAAGTCTTAGTCTCTTCCCCACTTTATTGGGCAGGTTCTATCCATTTCTAGTCCCAGCCGCTGCAGCTGCCGACTCCATGGCATCCGCGATGGCCAGCTCCCGTCGACGAGCGCGCACAGCTGCCTTCACAGCACGCGTGGCCGCGCCCGAAGCCCAGCGGTTTGTAGCGAAGTGAGCAGGGTCTCCAAGAACCGCGGTGGTGATGCCCAGAGTCCTGGACAGGGTCGCAGCCCCACAAATGCCCGCTGATCTTGTTGGGCATTTGGTGGAACAAGGACAATGCGAACAAAGAGCCCTGCCTGGCACAGTGGGCTTCATAGACACACCAAAGCCTTGAGTGGATCGGCACATTGGAGTTGGCGATCATGAGAAGCCTTTTTGGGCGACTGATCAATACCTCCCATGCACTTTCATGGGCCACTTGGACGACAAGCAACCCAGGAATTTCAAGGCAGATTCTGATTGAATCAATTATACGAATATAAATATATATAAATCTTAATTCAATTTGTACCAAGGCGCTCTGAAGAATGGTGATTGAGAAGGGGTCTCAATCATATGACTCATGAGCTCAGGTAGATTCTGCGGATTTGCCAAGGAGCAAATGTATGCACCGATACATCCATCTGGCCAGTTCTGCACCACAGTGTTGCTAAGCTCAAAAATTCCTTCCGACCATGCATGCGAGACGAAGAGGTCACAGCTGAGGCCATCTGAGTTGCAGTGCAAGGCATAGCTGAGGCAAGGGATGCCGTGGCATGGGTCCTTCTTTCGGGTCAACGGCTGGATATGACTTTCATTCACCTGGTACATGTTGGGTCCGATCGTCACGTCCCAGAACTTGCTTTCCTGAACGGGGCGAAGGCGGGCGAAGGGGCGAACGTTCGAACGAGCTCGGTCGTGGCGTCGAAGTCCACTGGCAAGTGTACACAAAAACATGTCAACCTGGAGGATCCATGGGCATCCATTGGGTTACCCTCCAGCGACATGAACCTTCAGCCTTTTAAAACACCATCTGCCTCATAGAAAGGCACCTTTCGTTGACGGCAGTCATTCTTGGAACGATTGGTCAAACTGCGCATCTCCACAAGAGAATGAAGCTCCTTGGCTAGGTCAGCCAGCTGATCCTCTCAGGGCTGATGTGCAACGGACAACTCACCATTGGTGTTCATCCAGGAACACCAAAGCCAAGTCAAAGTCACATGGTTGGTGCTACCGTGTTTGCATAACATATATAAGTTCGTCGCAACCAGTTTGCAACCGTTCGTGGTGGCTTTCTTGGATCTCTGGTGTGAACAATGCTGCGTCGAAAAGTCATCTTCCTTAAACATTTCATCAGTTAAACACCAGCAGGACGCAACATTGCATCGACTTCCAAAAAAGCCTCGCCAAGCAGGGACGCACAATTGATCAAAACGCATCGACTTCCACATCTAGGAGTACCAATTGGCAAATGAAAAGCCCCAATGTTCCCCAAATTGTACGCACAATCCACGTCCTGATTCGGCTGACCGAGTTCTGACCCCCTCCCACTCCCGTTCCTGGCTGACACCCCACTGCTCTGCGGGAAGCTCTGAATGGACCAGCTCAGCTCCAGTCGTGCCACCCCGTTCTTCTTGCACCTCGCGCCCACGCCGAAAGATCTCAGCGATCGCATCACCACTCAGCGGATCCGGCGCCTCTGGGACCTCTGGAGGTGAGGACCATGGTGCCGGCTGAGTCTGGACGCGAATCCAACAGCACATGGCACTCAGCGAGTCCAGCCTTCGTTTCACTCATGCTTCAAATTCCCTGCTCAATATCTCTGAACTGTGCCTTCATGAACGTTCCAGGCTTCAAGAATCATAGCGTCTATTCGGGTATATTCCCACTTCACAAGTCCAACTCAGCTTCTACACGCTTCAGTCGAACTCCCATGATGGAACCACTGTTTTTTGATCAGTCTTGTTACTTGTTCCGAACGCCGCAAGGCTACATATACCAAGCTGTCTTGGTTTCATTCAAAGAGAAGCCAAAAAAAGACTGGACGTAATTGATTCAAGTTTGAACCAGTCAACAAAGTACAACTCAATACAACAGCGGATCAAACACAGATTGCACGTTCGAATATATACTGTATTTGGTCCTTACATGGTGGTGCATCTCAGTCCATAAACGTCTAAAGCTTCGAAAGCACAGGCATGCCGGAAATGGCCAGGCATCAGGGAAAGGAGGGGGTTGAAATCTCCAAAGTGTTCTTCCAAAACTGCAACCAACACGTGTCCTCAGTGTCCGTCAAAAAAAAAAGTGAAGGGTGTCCACTGTCCGCACCTAAAATACCTCACCCAACCAATCCTTTCTCACTTCCCAACATTTCCCAACAATTGATTCAATTCCGGTCAGATTCGGAAATAGCTCCGGCACCTCACGCTCTGGTAAGCCAACACTCTAAGAAAACATCCAGAAGATTGGGGTCGGAGCTGATGACACTAAAGGACCCGAGGGACAACAAAAAAGTGATGAACTCAAAACGAATCAAAAACGAATCTGAACTGTGAACTGTGTCCTGTCTAAAACGATTCAACGATGGATTTCAACACGGTCCTTTTGGGTCCCCAAAACGACGACGAAGGGTCACGTGTTCCTCCCGCTCCTGCAAGGAGGGATCCACCGCGGAGAGCCGAAGGGTCACGTGTTCCCAGGCATCCACCGGGCCCGTCTCCGGCCTTAGGTCCAATGAGAAGGGCCATGGGTCCTGTGAGTTAGGCTAATCCAGGTCGGACGAAAGGCCACACTTGGTCATAAGAAAAGAAAACAAGAAACCGTCATCCACTTGGAAAGTGCATCTTGCTTTGCATCTAATTACCTTTGCTTTCCCCGACTGAAACTCTATTTCGATCACTGACCCTGCTGGCATTCCACACTTGGACGGGGATGTGGGCGTCTTCTGTGTGCCCTGGCAAGTGTGGCGGCTGTCTTCGGCGGATCGGCACATTGTGATTCACATCTTCAGCCCGTCACCCTGCAAATACCTGATCTACTGGGCCAAGTGTGGGCAGATCCATTTTCCTTGTATCTAGATCCACCCGTCAGTGTCATTGTTCGAATGCAATCAAGGTTCATGTCGCAAATGGCAAATTGATGGGCTCAGTTGGTGGTCACGACAAGCGAGCGTGAAAGCCGAAAGCAGGTAGCATCCCATGTCGCCTCCCAATTCCTCAGCTTGGTTAAAAATATTCACAAAATGCCCGTAGCTTCTGGGTGCATGACCACATGCAAATGTATTGTCAGACGAGCTGTCGCAAGTACGGTTTAGGCACGCAGCCGCCTATCCTTCAAGACACATATGCCGAGGCTCGACCATGGCTGGGCCTGGTCTGGAAGGCTGCGATTCCAAATACTCGAGTCTCAAGGCAACAGTTTGTTGCTATGTGTATGTGTATATATGCTACTAGGGTGGAGGCCATTACTACTAGGGTGGAGGCCATTATATATACATATCATATATCTTTCCGAGGATCTGATTTCACGGGAAGGTGACGGGAGAAAGAATGAAGGTGATTACTCTTGGTTGTCGTGTATGTACTCCTGGTTGTTGTGTACGTAGTGTATGTGTTGGCTCAAGAGACCTTCAACAAGCTAGATAAGCACATATTACCGGGCTGTTTTCAAGGCATTGTTCCCAGTACAAGTACATCAACAAGTTTTTTGCGATGCTCGTCTGGAATAGAAATTCATAGAAATTCTACAAACTTCAAGACATGGAATAAGGATGAGTGTCAATGAGCTGTAGGGCCTATGAGCTAAAAGCAATTCCAGTTAAGTTTCCCTAATATAGGGCGGTGGGGGGAGCTTCCTTGAAGAAGCGTGAGCTATCCTGCGTCCATACTAGTAGCTACTTAAGCTACTAGCGGCCTATAGCTACTAGCTATATACCTCTAGCGGCAGTACCCCCCCCCCGGGACTCAAAAAGCACCCTCACTGCTCAGCTTTTGTGCGGCTGTGTGAGTCCCCCCGCTTCCAGCTTCTTGCTGTGCTTTCGAAGCTCCTGCACATTGGGGGGAGACATGTAAGCAGAGTTGAGATCACCATACACTTCTGAACGTCCCATGGTGCGTTTGAAGTGTTTCCATGTCTTCAGAACGTCCCATGGTGGCGCTGCTCTTCTTCAAAACTGGAATCTGTCCAAAGGGACTGCGCTGGAGTTGGTTACGACATCACTAAGAACAACAACCACCTTGTTGGGGACCAGGCAAGAAAATTGACTGTAATTCTAGAAGGACCTCAACAAAGACATCTCTGCTTCTCAAACGCAGCTCGCGTTTGAAAGCTAGGGGGATTGATTGCCAGAATTTCCGAAGTTGCAAATTTCTTGACGCAAGGAACATCGTCACTTGCAGCGTAACCTCTACGATACTAACTGGATGGGCCGCTCAACGTGGCTCGTTCGATTGAAGGCAGGCGGTCCTCCTGTCTCAATCGCTCAAGATGCCTCTGCACTGTGTCCCCAATGCTCATCCGCCTCAAAGCATGCCAAACTAAGAGTTTCATTTGTTGTCCGTTCTTTCTATCTTTCTTCCTTCTTTCCTTTCTTTGGAAACCAGTTCTTTCTTTCTTCTTTTCTTCTTTTCATCTTTGTCAAGAAATTCATCCACCCTCGTCCAAATCATTCTTCCTGCAATATTGCTGTTCACCGACAAGTCCAATGGGGCCAGTGTTGGCATCAGATCTGTATACACTGTATATCGTCCCACTTCGAGCCCATGGACCTGTTGCCCGTCCACCCAAAGCACCAAAACGGAACACCCTTCCCAACCCACCACATCCTTCCCTCCAAACAAGCTCTCTGGGCGCTCGAGACTCTGCGCTTCGCGGAACAACGACCTTGCCAGGACTTACTCTGTTCGAATCTGCTCTCTACTTGTGAGGGTAGACATCTGACAGATGCATGTCCGCTGGCTCTCTTCAGGCTCTCAATGGATGAATCGGTAACCTGGTGGAGAGGCTACTCGGGTTACATTGAGCCAAAAGAAAGAAATAGAATCTTTTCCCAGCGCGGGTGCCAGCGAACCCTTTTGACAGCAGATCTCAGTCCGAGTTGGTTCACGGATCCTCACCTCAGAGTGTCAGAGCTCAAGAAAACCTATTGGAGCAGCAAGATGCAAGAGGCATTTGTATATGTGGGTGCGCGTACGGGTGTTCATAAGTGTTGAACCACTTGTTTTAAAAAAAAAGTTCATTCCAAACCTGGACTGGGCTGCCTGTCCCTGAAAGCTTGGAAGAGAAAGCGTAAAGCGAGCCCTCGAGATGCCAAGATACTGATTGACGGTGAAACTGCACCTGTGGCAACGACCATGCGATTGACCATTATCCAAGCAAATGTTGGTATGCTAGTTTAGCTACTGCAATTCAAGTCATGCCTTGTTGTGGAGCCTCAAACACCAAGAGATGAAGAAATGGCCCAAAACTGTTGAACACAAGGTCATGTAAGGCTACTAGCCACCTGGCCTTTCATTGATACCACGTCATTTTGTTAACCCCTCTGCACATTTGATCCTTGACACCGGACCCTGATCTGACCAAAGAGTCAACAAACGCTGCACCAAGTCATTTTCCCATTCCTCAAGCGCAGGGAAAAGGGTGAAAATCCTCAGCCAGGCCAAGGTAAAGTCACATCTGCACAAGAGTCTTGGCACCACACCACGCGGGAAGGAGCAAAAACATGCAAATCAGCTTTGGCGGAAAGCCGGTCTGTCTTGGGACAGGTGCACAAAACTGAAGAAAATGTCCAAAGAGAACACACAAATTCACACAGACAATCTCTCGGAAGCCTTCCCATGGTGAGAATGCTCTTCCCGAAAGCCTGCGTGTTTGGGCTGTTGCGAACATATCAAACCCACACAGACATGATATCGTCGCCAATCTGCTTCTTGACGAGGCAACTTCGTCTTGGCATGTCCTCTGTGCTGGATCCATCGCTTGAGTCATCCGTAGCTTTAGCAGAGGCAGTGGAAGACCTCCTTCGGAATGACAAAAGACTTCCCAGAAGACCACCAAATGAGCCAAATGTGCGCTCTGAGCGTTTCTTGGCACCTGACAGCCTCAAAAAGCTGAGCATCGGCCGGTCACCCAGCTCTTCTGCTACATCCAAAGGATACAGCTGTTGAACCCGGACAAACCGGTGAACGTCACTGGTATCTCGCAAACTGTTCACACCCGCAAAACCATGACGCTCCAAGAAAGCAGTTACTTTTTCGTTTCGCTTCTGGACTGCTTCCGCTGTGTCAAAATTGAGACTCTCATAGGTCATAGCCATGGCGGGAAACACGTATATAATGGCTGTTGGGTTGGTGGAAAACCGCACAAGTTGATTGAGCCCGAGCTGAAAAGTAAGGCAGCGAGTGGCACAGGCATCAACAGGATCACTTTCCATGCTTTCCAGGCCCTGCACATCACAAGTGTTCAGGTTTCTTGTGTGCTTCACTGTGACAAACATTGCAGTGTGTCCCGATAAAAACATCTAGGGCCTAGGGACCATTTTCTTACAACCTTGCAGCGACTCGAAGGAAAAAACACGTCTGCACCTTCTGTCTGAAGGAAACACACTGAGCACCCGGGCCAAAGAAGGTGGGAGTGACGTAGACAACTCAACGACAAGGACAAGAACCCCAAAGATTGTCTCATTTACAGTGTCTCATTTACAATAGCATGCATCCCAAATCTTGGCCTTTCTGCAAAAGAAACACAGCTCCACATGTTACTCGGATCTTCGTAGATCTTCGTAGATCACCTACAAGTGCCTCGGATTTTTGGACTGCTGAGTGCACGCACCTCGACCGGAAAGTGAAACATTCTCAAGCACCTGGTGGTGGGCGTTCATGAAAGCGACAGGCATGGTTCAAAAAGGAGAATGGTGGGCGATCCAGCAAGGATGCGTCTCATCGAAGATGCAAATCACAATTTGAGCATTAGGAACAAGGGACGCGGAGCGAACGGAACGATCGGACACTACGAACGGGGCTCCTGGCCTTACTACTAGGAGCTAGAAGTCGGTTACAAATCCAAATGATCCAACCATTACACAGCTCAGTGAAGGCTACCATGGAGGACTAGTTGCAAAAGCCTGGAGTGGCGGAGCTCTTTTTGGCCGTCAAACAACAAGTCTTGCTTGAACCTTGTGAAGCTTACATCATCCATTTTGGATGTACCAGAACGAAAGCTAAAGAATGGCACTTGCCTCTTCACACCCTATAAATCCTGCAATCCCTTCCTGTCAATGATAAACTGGACTTTGATGCTACTTCGGCATGCTTAAACTCGTGGTCATGAGGTTGTCCTAGACACACCGCAGTTGCCACGAAAGGGATTACCACGCGGGAAGGGCTCTTCTCCTAACTAGTCTCTACTAAAGGCGGTCAACAACCCAAGAGCTACGCCCAGACCGTTTGCAGTCTCTCTTCACAGCTTGGATCAGCCGCACTTCTTTGAATTAGGCAACTGCGTGGTGCACCATGTGAGGGCCCGTTTTGGTGATCTCTGCTGCTGGGCACAAGGACCCTGCGTATAATTTGCCAGGAGCTCTTCAGAAAGCCTTGTCCCCTTGGTCTCGCTCCCAACTGCTTCAACAGATTCAACATTCGTTCGTCGCCCAACTGTTCAGCAACTTCAAGAGGATATAGCGGCTCAATGCGGACCTTTTGATGCACATCGCTGGTGTCCCTGGGCCCATGAACGTCGTCAAAACCATGCCGATCCAAAAAGCCCTGCACCTTCTGTCTCGCCAAATCCTGTGCTCTGGGTGAGTCTGGGTCCATGCTTGAATAGCTCATCGCCGACATGGCTCCGAGAAGTCTCAGGATTTAGGATACGTGGTCGCGGAGAGTTGGCTGACTGAGTTGGCACGTGGAGATGTCACCGGTGAAACCGTTTGAAACACTTGGGTTGTTGTTCCCATGTCTGATTCCGGCACTTGCGACTTGAGGTGCCTGAACAAGGCAAAGCCCAAATGTGACAGGTAGAATCATCAACTCGCAATTGGGCGGTGATGCAACATGATGCAATCCCACAACTTCCAGACTGTCACCAACAGTTTCTGAAAGGCTACAGTTTTGGTCCCAAAACCGTGTGCTTTGAAGAGTTCGAATTCTTGGGGGCATGACATAAGGTAAGTAGATATGAAAAGAAATGAAACCAAGTTTCAGGTGTCGTGCATCATATTAGTTTTGCTAGCTGACTTCGAAGCCTTCAGGATGCTGCTCCAGGTCAAAGCGGATGGTCTGGTGGGGCTCCTTGAATTTTGCTGCACGATGGGGCCGAGAGTCTACAAAGCGAAGCTAAGGTCATGAGCTCATCCTGGCAAAGCTCATTCAAGGAACTGCGCTATCAGCTTTCTTTCACGATGAAGTGTAACTATAGCAATGTGCAAGGAACCTGATCGTTGTGGACATGGTGACCAAGTAGGGGTAAGGTCTCGAGTTGACCTTGTGACACGGTGCCCAATGTAGCTGGAATCAAAACCTGAATTGATATGAGCGTGCAAAAAAATTGCCCACGTTGACCAGGTTAAGATCTGGATCAAGTAGCGGATTGTATCATTGTGAATCTCAGGATCGAGGCCAGCAGGGAGGTCTTTCTGTCCTAGCTATGAGACAGGAGAACATCGCCAGATCCTCGTCGCAACCCCGCACCCCTCTGTCTTGCCTCCTGAGGGACTTCACGCCCCTCGTGTGACCTAGTGGCCAGTGGCCAGTGGAACACGCTCGAACGACTCCACAGGACCTACCCTCAAATCATATTCTTCCAATGTGGAGACCTTTTGACAAGCCCTTTTTACACGTCCACATCTGCAGCTCAGGTGTCCAAAACAACTGATTCCCAGTTTAAGATCTCCATACTGCCAAATCAGATTCCACACTACTCACTCGATCTTCTGGATAGATTGAAATTCTAGACCGGCTGGGATGCTGATCCCTTCACTTCGTGTGTACAGCAATGACTCTGCAATGACCACCTCAACTGAGGCTAACATGTGGATGTGGCTCAAATTACACCAGCCTCGACCCCATGTGGAGCACTTTGAACAAGGAAACTCAAGAGGCACATGCTGTTGCTCACTCTCTTATGGCCGCCAACCGTCACCAGAGCGGGAATGCCATGTGACCATTGCCATGTGATGATTGTGATGGGATCGGGGACGGCTTTAGAGTTCAATCAAGTGGATTCCAGACAAAAAGTTGGGAGACAGGCATGGTTTCCAGAGTTCCAAGATTCCAGGGGGTTCCAAGGTTCCGGAGTTCCAGGCCTTCAAGAGAAGAGAGAACCCCATTTTGGCTTCCACAAAAAAACGGAACCCGCGGGTTTTGGAGCCTTTTCATTTGCCGAGGGGTCTTTAGTGTAACCCACCAGACTTTGAGCTGTAGGCTAAAGCCATGCATGGATTTGCCGCAGGTTGACATTGAGGAGTAAGAAGTGCCACTTGCTACTAGGAACGGACAAAACACATGTCGTTTCACAATTCAGAAGCTGCTGTATTTTTCAAGATGTCTAAGTTTGTGATGAGTAGCAAACTGGGCCAAATAGACTATTATTCACGGCTGTAGGCTCCGTCGTCTTCAACGCTCAAGTCTGACACCGAGCTAACCGAGCGTCGTCGCTCCACCGAGCTAAGAGCCCAACCCCGACTGCATTCCCTGGCGAGGGCTGCAGCTGTTCTCTAATTCACGCGGAATTTACTGTAAGTCCAAAGCACAGCTATATGTGGGGCAGCCAGAAGGATCTGTTTTCTGAGCACTTGATTTGCATTGATGAATGAACATGGATTGGGTGACTGTTCTACTCCTATTCCAACCTTTCAGGCCCTTTCCCTTTCATACCATATGCAGGCGTTCTTTCTAGTACAGACCTATACCTGGTCACCACCCACCAAACAAATTGCCCAGGCATATACGCCTGGTTCCTTCCAACCCAACAGTACATCGCTAGACTCAATTCTGGTCGGCCTGGGATCTCGCTGAAGGCCTGCGCATCGCAGGAACAGAACATCTACGACATGTCTTGAACATGTCTTGAACATGCGACTGTATTCTTGATGTCTCGGCAAGTGTGGAAAAGCGCCCAGGCCGCTCTGGCGCCTCTGGCTTTCCGGCTCTCCAAGCCTTGCGGAGGGAGGGACTGTGAGAGAAGTCACCGAGCCATGGACTTCTGATACCACATGGTTTGGCCCGGAATTCATTAACCTGTCTGCTCAGAAGACTGGAAGGATCAACGCTGTAATTCTGGACCGGCCGGGTGCTTCGCCTTTGGCTTTGTTCCGGCAAAGCAGAGGCAAGCCTGGCGAAATGAATGCGTTTCGGCCGTGGGTAAATGGTGCAGCTTTCACACCCCGGTCGTGGCAGCTAAGACTCCGAAATTTTATCACAAAGGACAAGCACCAATAATTATACATGTGTACGTTGCCCGAAAACGTGACCTTCCTCTTACATGACAGCGGTCCAAACCTCACTGGCACGGCCTTGTTGCATCAACTTCTGTAAACACAGCAAGCTTAATGCATCGTTCCGGCCCCTTCCCTCCATCTGCCGCTGAGGAACGCATCCCGCTGCAAGGAAACGGCGCTCTGCCTCCGAGCATGATGGTGGAGGGCTCAGAACCAAGTGCAACAAACGTTGAACTACTAGCAACGGCCTCCACCCCAGTAGCGATGGCCTCCACCCTAGTAGCGATGGCCTCCAGCCTCCACCCATTATAGCGCAGCCTCCACCCTAGTAGTGTGGCCTCCACGATATATAGCGACGGCCTCCACCCTAGTAGCGACGGCCTCCACCATATAGCGACGGCCTCCACCCCAGTAGCGATGGCCTCCACCCTATAGCGACGGCCTCCACCCTAGTAGCGATG